GACTTCTAAATTGACTAGAAAGAAACTAATATAATATATTCATTTTATGAAATATATTTAATAAAATATCTTTAACCACTGAGTTAATATATAAATCATTTGTGCCTTATGAATATATTTTCAAGTATGCTTTTGGCTAGGGCAATTGCTCGGTGGTAGAGTGCTCATCTAGTATGCATTACATTGTTAGCTCGATTTTTGATGTGTCTTTGATAACCAAGCACCATCCTGCGCTCTATAGCCACTTGACGTGAACTTACGACTCTGTGTGTATGTGATTTATGTTTCACCTGTTTTTACCGCAGCTTTGAAAAATGCCCTCAAGTACTCTGTGCCCAGAGGCACATGTGCCAGGTCAGGTTTTTGGAGGAGGTCACCAGGGTAAGTCATGACTGACTTTGGCCTGTTGCTTTGTGACATCTGTGGAGATGGTCATCTTCTTTGCTCAGACACCCTTTGTTGGGCAGGCATCATGTCCACAAATAGTCTCCTCCATCTATGGATGCTGATTGCTTCCTGCACACTGCTGTACTGCTGTGCTGTTGCCCTGCCCAGTGTCCCCAACTCTTCTGGGGACTGGTCCTAGAGTCCTCAGTACCAGACTTCCTGCAGTGTTCTCTGGAAGTTGAGGAGAAAACCTGCATCCTTTTTAGTACTTAGATTGTAAAATACTCCTATCTTGCAAACTCGGTGTCTTTGTAAATATAAATACATTCTTTTCTTTTCCTTCCTTGGGCAGGATCTTGCTATGCAGCCTAGGCTGACCTTAAACTCAACTACCCTCCTTCCGGCCTCTCCAGTGCTGAGGTTGCAGACATGTTCCACCGTAGGTAGCCATCCTTTTCTTCTTGAGTATTGTTTTCTCTCTGCTCATGCTCCCTGAGGAACAGCTGTGGGGAATCCCGGGAAACAGAGCCTTGTTACCCTTGACATCACTCCTTTAGTGTCCTGTGTTCTACACTCAGGGCAGTGTCTGGCCACTCCATCAACCCACCTCTTTGGGCTGAATGCATTTCAGAACATTGCTTGGGTTCTTGTGCAAAGTGGACTGTCCCACCAGTTCACAGAGCATGCTGACAGCAGAGGGAGAGCCGGTCCTCCCACTCCAGCGCGTGCAGATAAAAGCAGATGGAGGAATGCATGCATGCCATGTCACACTCCAGAAAGCTGTTCTTGAAAGCCCATTACTGAAATTGTACTGAGCATTGATGGCTGGAACATCTAGAATAAGAAAGACTGGAGCTGTAGACGTTGTTCAGCAGCAAAGGCCTTGCCAAGAATCTAGAAACCCCTGGGTTCAGTTACCAATACTGGAAATCTATTTTTGTTTGTTTAGAGCTTGCCTAGTTGGCAGTTTCCATTCCTTACATTCAGCACAGCCTGCTGCTCCAGCCTCACTCTGATGCTTTGCTGGAGATTTTGCAGTCTCTCTTCTCTCTGATCTACTCTTCACTTGCCAAAGACAAATTCCCAATGCCCAGTCCATATACAATCAAACCTGCTGAGAAGAGAAGAGTGTTGTCGAAGGGGAGAGGGCAGAAGTGGAGCCCTAGAGCTTGCTAGCCCCAGTCCTAGGTGACTGGAGAACTCACTCATTAAGAGAAGCATTCCACAAGCTAAGGAACCCCTAACGTGTGCCAGACAAAGAGGCTATTGAGTAGTTTGAGAGAAGGGAAATGCAGAGAAAACAAAATGCACGTAAGAGGCATCCAGGCATTAGCCAGCAGAATCCACGCAGTGGCACAGAGGAAGCATATGATGCAGGAGGACCACTCCAGTAATCACACATGCCTGAGGCAGAATGCACATGAGGACATGGACACAGGGAGGCTGAGCAAACAGTAGAGATCACTGAATCTGGCCCAGCTAGCCAAAGGGGTTAATAACAATTATTTGATTTTCTAAAATTCTCCACATTGTATGCCCAGTAAGAATGCTAGTTCCTGAGCCAAGTGTGGCAGTGCATGTCTGTAATTCCTGTTCTCAGGACACTGAGGTGAGGGAACTGCAAATTCCAGGTCAGCCTGGCCTGTATAGCAGGGCACCACCAAAACAAGTTCCTCTTGTAATGGCCAATTAGATGTCAAGGAGTTGGGGTCCTTGGTATGGTATCCATGGTTTGCCTAACTGCAGTCCACTGAGTGGGAAATAGGAAAGAATAATCCCTAGGAGTCAGCCAACAGGCTCAGTGGTTGACAGTCAACCTTGAGCCCTGAATACAAGGTAAAGGTATGTTCCACAGTCCACATCTCCTTCTCCCGAGTTCCCTACAACTTAGTTCTGGCTTGAGGCTCTTGGTAAATTTCTGGCTCTGGAATCACACCCCATTTCCTGATTTGCTGTCACTGAATTTTTCAGCATTACTGTATTTGGAAACACATAAAAAGAGAAGTAAAGATTTTTACACTGTTACACTCAAATGTAGCCATCTGTTTGGTGTCTTAATGTGCTTGTTTTGAAAAGCAGTGAACTTCTGGTGAAAATGCCTATTCTGTCTTTAAACCATTCTCAAAAACTCTGCTAATAGAAGAAACACTCAAGATTCTGAGTCACGTTTTAAAATACAATACAGTGCCACCATAGGCAAAAGCTAAAATCTACAAAATAGAGCCAGTGAGATGGCTCAGCAGGCAAAGGTGCTTGCTGCCAAGGCTGACAGCCTGAGTGTGATAGCTGGGCCCTGGATAGTAGACCGGGAGAACCGCCCGATTCCGATTCCCACAAGTTGTCCTCTGCTTTCCACATACATGCTGTAGCATGTCTGTGTGCGTGCGGTTGCACCACACACACACACACACACACACACACACACACACACACACACACACACACACGTTCATTGACATGCCTGTAAAATACCCAAAAGATAGAAGTGTGAAGAAGAGGAAGAAGGGGAAATAGAAGGAAGAGAAAGGAGAGGCAAGATCTCCAGTCCTGTATTCCCATGGCAGGATGAGGCTCATCTCTCCCAGCCTCCTGCCTCTGCTTCTACAGAATGGCTCTTAATTATGATGCTAATGGTCAAATGCAATGAAGCCTTCTTGGAGGTAAACCCAAGCTAGTGAGGTGCTCAAGATGTGCTTCAGGAGCAGACCAGAAAAGAGCCCCCATTTGAGATAACCTGGTTTGACTTGACCTCCAACTAATGCAGTTAGAATGGGTAGGCATCCAGTTGGCACTGTTGGCAAAAAGCTAAATTCGCTCTTTCTTGTTCCCCAAGTGCTCACAGAAGCCAGTGGCTAGGGCGAGGGCATGTCCCAAGAAAGCTGCTACGGTTCCTGTAGTCTGCTGGACGGACCACCACTCCTCTAGGTGGTCTTCATACTTGTGGGGGTAGAAGCAGATCTTAGGAGTGCTGCTTCTAGCTGGTCGAGGTGAGGTGAATATGGTGGTAGAGATGGCACAGGGGTCCTGTGTTAATAGTGGACACCATTAGGTAGGCAGCCCAGGTTGCTTAGGGTGCTCTGGGCTACGGCTTTTCGGTTCAATTCACATATGGTGCTCGTGGCTTTCTCTAAACTCTACTTTGCATATGGCATCATTTTCCTTTTGCTTGAAGATGTCTTCAGCAGACTCTGAAGCAGTCCTGTTGGCTGTAGGCTTCCTTATGTGCATGTGCAAGTGTCCTTATTTAGCCCTTGTTTTTGAAGGATACTTTTTTCCCTGCAGTCCTCAAGCAGACACTGATCTGCTTTCTGCCACTATAGTTGTATTTTCCAAAGATTGCCTGCATTTCTACCATATGAGCCACTAGAGACCCTGGTCATCAGGGTTTCCTGGATGAGCTGTACCTGGTGTGCTTGCTTCTGTGACTCTCCTGAATGTCTATTCTTCTCTCCTGAGACAGTGTCCCTGAGGGTCAGAATTCAGCAGGAACTTCATCTCTTCCTGGTGCTTCTCAAGGGTATCTGAATTAAAGCCTTTGCTCTTTTCTACTATAGCCCTGAGAGCCTCCTAATGTTTTTAGCCCTGGAAGTCTGAGTTACTCTCTAGACTGAGAACTTCATGAGGATGAGGACCATGTACAGCTGACTTGGCACTTGGCACCTAACATAGCGCTGGCATCAGTGTTTAGTGAATGGCAAAGAAAGAAAGACCGGGTGCCCTTTTATTCCTTTTCCTTCTCTGCTCTCTCTTCCTGTTTTTTTGTGTTTAGTTTCCATGTTGTAAGTACATTTCTGCAACTTTACAGCAGCAGTGAGTTTGTAGCCTACTAATCAGAGCATCCTTAGCTCTTAAATTTTGGAAAATGGATTTTGAACCTGAGCAAACAAACCAAAAAAGTTCAAACATTTGTCCATGGTGTGGCAACTACCATGAGTCCATCTGTGAAGTTAATGCCCTTATCTGTTGAAGAATGGAATGTCTGATAGAGACCTGAATATCCACAGCTGTACAGCTGGCATTCTGTTCTGCCAAGATGTCACATCATTGCCCTTTCTCAAATCTGGAATTCAAAGACACCCCACATGGAAGCCAAAGATAAAACGGTGCTTTCAAAAGTTCAAGCTTGACTTAGCAAAGCACTTTTTACAGGGCTGTTATGAAATAAGAAAGATAAGGTTCCTGACTCACTGGCTGGCTGTAGTGGGGCTCGTGAGTGCTGTCCACTCCCCAGCCTCCCTTCCAAGCTTCCTCAGGTACTGAAAACCCATTTTTCTTCTTGAGATTTCAGGATCAAAGAGTGAATAGGACTAGTGTCAATAGCTGAAGCCATCCAGGTCCTCTCCTCAGATGCCTGAGCATCAATCCTCCTCTCTGAGCCTGGCCTGTCAGAGTATCTGAGCATGAGGTGCTATAGGGGGTCATGACACTCTACTCTGAATCTGGAGCTTACTCTATGTGAGGCTATCCTGAGGCCATCACACCAGCTGCTACCAAAGTAGTCACCTGAAATTCCTTCCCAGAACCCTGGATCCTGCTCAGTCTTCGTTCCCATTGCTTGAAGTGGCTTGAGAATTAAAAAAGAAAAACCTGCTTAATCTTCCCCTCTCTTTCAGGAGCATCTGAAGGCCTTTGATAATGAAGTTAATGCTTTCTTGGACAACATGTTTGGACCACGAGGTGAGTGAGCTGCTTGGGAACATGCAGGAAGAGTGCCATTTGCTTGTAGGAAAGGATTGTCTTTGGGGTTCTGAAAACAGTGTGGCATCTATCCTTATGGACTGTAAACTGCCTACATGTGGTTCCCCTTTCCAAGAATAGCAGAATCCTTGTTCCTTCTGCCCTGCTGTGTCTCTTGGGATGAGGGGCAGGTGAGAGGTAAATTTTCCCCAAGGTATCAGCTGTGAAGCCTGGTAGTCCTTTTGCTTTCTCCATCACCTCTCAGCCTCCCATCAGAGCCTGTCTTCCTCGCTCACATGGATACAGCCCCTTCAGACAGCTTCTGACTCCTCCAGCATGTAAACGTGGTTTATGTGCTGTTTCCCTACACCTGGACTTGCTCTCTGCTGTGTCTCCGTCTCTCCTGTCTGCTCAGCGCCTCCTCTTGCAGACACCAGTTGTGGGCTTTCTGGGGTGGCTTCCTCTCTACTGCACCTCATTGCTCTAGACTGCCCATTTCTTTCCGCATAGGCTTCCTAGTGGCCGCTTGTCTCTTGAGAGCAGGAGCCATGACCCTGTTCACCATCTATGACCAGGGCATGAACAGCTCTGGGAACAGAGGACTGATAGTTCTGACTAGATAAAGTCAGGACAGATGTGTTGCTTTACTTGGGTCTGGTTGTTTGACAAGCCTGCGGGAAATCCTTGGTTTCTACAAGGGGTTTCCTCAAGACTGTAAAGACAGGAAGAGGAACTGAAGTCTTAGCACTTCTCACAACCTTTATATAAACTTGGAGATATTTGGATCATTCCCTGGTTTTCACTGAGACTCTGAAACCTGTTCTAAGTGAATAGTGACTTTTGTTTTTTTAATAGAAACTGCAGTTTTTTGGGGGGAGGGGGAGCGGGGCAGTGGCTCTCCATTCTTCCCTTTGAGGATCTTTTGTGGTGGGCCAGCAGTGTCTGTCTGTAACCTCTGCATACCCTGCTTGCAGTTCTAGTGAGGTGAGGAGGAACTGGCCCAGAGTGGAGAAGATGGCCTCTTGCTTAGGCAGGATGCCACAGGAGCTGTGAAGTCTTGGGGACCACAACTTTCTGTTTCTCTCAGCAGAGAGTTAAACATTGGCCTCTCTGAACTAAGTTCACACTAAACTTTGCTGTCAGTAGATTAGTGGAGCTAAAATGAACATAGACATGGGACCCACTGAGGAAAGGATTGCAGTTGTTTACTGCGCTTCAGTGGTTCTGGTGGAATTGTTTCCTTTGTAGCAGGGAGATTATAATGTTAACAGTTTGACCACTGAATTGGGTTACTATAGTCATATCAAGAATCCTTGTACCTTCCTAAAGGTGACCCGCACTTACAGTGACTGCCACACCTAGTGACCTCAGAGGCATCCCCAGCTTTTTCTGATCTTGTGCACATCCTATCAGTAGCCTGAGGGATATGCCAGACACAGACAGAGTAACACTACTCAAGTACCAAAGCAACAGCATGGCAAACCCTTGCTCCCAAGTGTTAGTTGCAGTAGTTATGATCAACTTTAACTGTGGCATGCATGGACAGCAGCATGACAAACACAATACAGATCTCAGGTGCTGTGTTCAGAGTGCCAGCTGAAGGAATTTACATGAGTCTCCTCCTAACTCTAAGGATGTTAGTTCAGGTAAGAGGGGAGGAGACTGGTTCCTCCTCACAGAGCACAGGCAGAGGGAAACCTAGCATGTGGGAACAGTCAGGATGCAGCCTAAGTATGCATTCCCTGGGACTAGGTGACTTTGAGAATGACAGAAAGATAATCCCGCAGTTCTGAAGTCAAGGTAGGGCTCACTTTGTTCCCTTGACATTATGGGAAGAACCCGTCTGCTCTCCCCAGGTCAGGTTGCTGTCAGTCTGGTGTTCCTTGGCCTCTAGCTGCAGATCTGTCTTCATGTAGTTTTCATTTATTCTTTTGTTCCTCTCTTGGAAAGACACCACTGACTGGGTTATGGTGCAATCTTAACACAATTGCAACCGCACAGACCCCAGTTCCAAGGGAAGTCACATACATACAGCAGGTGTCGGGCTTGAACATGTCTTGGAGGGATGCAGTTCAGCGGCAGCATCGTAACACAGGTGGGGAAGCTGATCACCGTGAGCTTTCTGCCTCTGTGGCTGACGTTCCCTAAGGAACCCCAGGAAAGGCTCTATTATTTCTCTAGGTGGATTGCTTTGAGAAATCTGTCAATACATGTCAAGCTTTAGACAGTGCCTGACATGGAGAAAGTCTTTGCAGTTAGCTATGGCAGGATAGCTTGAACAAGAAGCCAAAGTGGTCATTTTCTTGTTGAGCAAGTACAGCTGTGGCTATGAAAGGGCGTGGGAAATGGCTCCCTTCAGAAGGCAGTCTTCATGTGGGCATTAAAGGATGGACAGGAGGGCACATAGCACATAGGCTTCTAGGAAGAGTATGAGCCTGTGCCTGAAAGGCTATAGCGGATCTGAACTCGGAGCTCCTATCACTCACCTGTCACGTGATCTGTCACCAAAGGCGCTGTCTCTAGAACACTCCTTGGCACAGTGGCGGTGCTCACAAAGGCACTCTCCTCATTAGTTTGGACTGTAAGTGTGCTGAGAACAGGTCAGAATAGATGGTGTGGTGGACTGAGGCCGTGGGAGAACCAGCAAGGTGGAAACAGTTTTGTTGTGCTATCTGTGAAGGTTAGAACCAGCATGCAAATTTCATGATTCCAGGTCAATCTTTAAAGAAAAGGAGACTAAGGAACAAATCTCATTTGTACCTACAGGTCACTTCCAAGTATTACCCAGTGTTAGAGATTGATCATAGGCTGTTGTGTTTCACTCTCTGGAGGAAGAGCATCTGGTGACTTCTGGCTCTTGCCCCTGTTATTGACGTGTCTAGTCCTGAGATAACTCTGTAGCCACAGTTTTGTATCATGCTGTTCTCAGCCACTCCAAGGCTTTGCCTCTTTGTCCTCAGTGCCCATACTCTCTGTTCTGGAATGCCATCACCCTGTAAGCTCTGGGTGCTGGGGCTTAGGATGCAATGTGCCCTCTTTCCTCTGTCCTTCCCAATGGAAGGGTCTCAGAGAGGAGTATGGGTTGAGGTGGCAGATGTAATTGAAATCCCGACACTGCTGTCATTGTATTCCTTTTCTCAGTTGTTTCTTCACCCATAAGATGTGTCGAGTTAGCGTGAATAAATGCAGGAGCCGATACAAAGCATTCAGTTGTCAACTGAAGCCATTTGTCCCATGCAAGCTTGTCTAACTTAAATACATGTGTGGGCCGGGCTGAGCTCATGTGCTGTGTATATACAGGAACTACAGACATCAGAAGAGGCATCAGATGCCCTGGACCTGGAGTCACCAATGGTTATGAGTAGCCATGTGGGTACTAGGCACTGAACCCGAGTACTGTGTGAGAACAAGTGCTCTTCAACTCCGAGCCATCCCCCCAGTCCTTAAATATTAGGGTTTTTGTTTTTGTTCTTGTTTTTGAGACAAGGTCTCATTATATAGACCAGGCTGGTTTGGAACTCAGAGATCTGTCTGCCCCTACCTGCCAGGTGCTGAGATTAAAGATGTATACCACCACTCCCAGCCCATGAAGGCTTTTGAATTTATTTTTATTACTTTAAATTGTGCATATATGAATATGTACACTTGAGTGCAGGTGCCCATGGTATCCATTCTAGTGAAGCTGGGTAACTGCTGAATCATCTCATAAGCCCCTCTGAAAACTTAACTGTGCCTCCCTGCTGCTCTCTGGCTTGCTTACCTCAGCATCGTATTGGTGTGTGTGTGTGTGTGTGTGTGTGTGTGTGTGTGTGTGTGTGTGTGTGTGTAGTACCCTTATCTGAGGTCTGAGGTTTTGTCCCATAATCTACTATAATCCAAAAAATTTCAATGGCAAATTCCAGAAGTAACAATTTGTATGTTTAAAATTACATACTGTTTTGGGTAGAATGATGAACTCTGTCCTGTCTGGAACTCAAATTATCCTTTTGTCCGGTGTATCCATGCCCTGTATCCTACCCACCCTCAGTTATTCACCAGCCTTTGCTTGTCAAGTCTATACAGCAGCCACAGGGCTTGTATTGAGGGAACACCTGCTTTTCTTAGTATCGGCCTCAGGTGCAAGAGCAACGGGGCTGCCAATTTGGTTACTGCTCAGAAAACCATAAACTGCCTCCTTCAAGTGAAAAGGTAAAAGTCCCCAACTTAATAAGAAAAATTTTCTGAAGTCTAGAGAAAGAACTAGGATGTCTGTGGACTTGTTCAGGGGAAGCAGCTTGAGCTGGTCATGTGAGTGCATCTCAGACAGCAAGTGCTCAGTGAGGTCAGGAAAAGTGTTCTGTGGGCACCTGGGGACCTCCCACCTTGGATAAGGGAGCCCGCTGCAGACTGTGTGAGCCAGTGTTGCTAACTGCATGGAGCACTGCTCCTCAGGCTCCTCACCATATGCTTTCTTTCCAGATTCTCGAGTGCGAGGGTGGTTCCTGTTGGACTCTTACCTGCCTACCTTCATTCTCACCGTCACATATCTGCTCTCGATATGGCTGGGTAACAAATACATGAAGAACAGGCCGGCTCTTTCTCTCAGGGGAATCCTCACCTTGTATAACCTGGGAATCACACTTCTTTCTGCATATATGCTGGTGGAGGTAAGTGTGTGCGGCTCTGAGTGTTTGAGTTCGAGGACTGGTCAGATGTGGCCTTCCAGAACTGTGAAAGGTCGCAGTTACCTTGGCACCACTCTGGAAAAACCCAGAAAGCTGCTTGCACTGGTACTCTTCCTTCCCAAAGTGTCAGAAGCCCTTGTTTCTGACTTGAATTTAGGCCTGTTTCTGGAGTCCTTAACCCAATTAGAATTAGAATCATGATTAAGATCATGTCGTATAATTTCTTCTGTACCTTATGATCCTGATTTAAATGCACTAAATGATTCATATGTAGCTAGTGTACAGAGATGCAGATGTCTGGACTGCGCTGGCAAGCCTGAGTTGACACTAGTCGGCTCTAGCTGCCTCCAGGCCTTCAACTCCACCCTTAAAAGCATATAACCGCAGAAATAAGTGATGGTTGCTTTGCCTAATACAACCAAGAGTTTCTGCCATATAATACAAGGAGAAGTCTATTCTTCTTCCAGTATTCAACTTGCTCTAGCAAAACTAAAGAGGAGTAAGAGGGACAACCCAATCAAATTAGGATAAAACCATCCATAAAGGTTATAAATGGCTAGTAATGACGCAAGCAGGACTTTTCTACTGATCTAAAATTTAAAAAGACAGAAATCCGTATCTTTTTTTGTTTGTTTTGTTTTTTGAGACAGGGTTACTCTGTGTAGCTTTGCGCCTCTCCTGGAACTCATTTGGTAGTCCAGGCTGGCCTCGAACTCACAGAGATCCGCCTGGCTCTGCCTCCCGAGTGCTGGGATTAAAGGCGTGCGCCACCACCACCCAGCTCAGAAATCCGTATCTTAAAATGCTGGTTTCTCACTCTGACTTTATTTTGTGCATTAGCTAATATGCACCATTTTAATAATGGCCATTAGCTGTTGCCATAGTGACCAAAATGAAGCACTGGTGGGTGGAATTTTGGGTGAGGAAAGCCATATAAAGTTTCAGCATCACATCACAGGCAACCACTAAGTTTTCTGACACTAAAAAGAGTTTTAGGTTCTTTGCTAAGATGTATTTAGCATGATAGGTGTGAGCTGGTCCGATGAAGCATGGGTTTAGTTTTTTTCTTGAGACAGGCTTTCTCTATGTAGCTCTGGCTATCCTGGAACTCACTATGTAGACCAGTTTGGCCTTGAACTCACAGAGATTAAAGGTGTGTTTCACCGTGCCCAGTTAGACTTAATTTCTTTACATGATTGCAAGGAAAGAGACCTTCCTTGATCAGGAGCAAGGCTGGAAGCAGTGTCCCAGGAGACGGAACACACAGCTTCCCAGGCTGCAGCTGCCAGGAGCCTGGACTAGGTGGTAAGGTTGGGCTGAAGCCGATGGACTCTAGGTGAGCTTTAGAGTTCCTCCATCCACAGCAGCTCCATGTTAATCTTATTGACAACCTTGTTTATTTCCTTCAGTACAAAGGTTAGATGGCTTTGGTCCTCAACCCAGTTAGGGGATTATGAGTAGCCCAGGAGGCAGCTTAATTCTGCTACACAGTTACTAAGTGGTTAGATACATACCACGGGATTGGTGACTGCCTGGAAAATCTGGATAACACAGGACATGCCCTGGGCAAACAGAATATGCCCTGTTTGCTAAGGGGTTACCCCACAGCTGCACTGTTACTATAGAAAACATATACTTAACCCTTCAATACAGCTTTCATCCTGCAAATAGTTTAAATAATATTTGTGTGCCACGTAGCTTTCTGAGTCTGAAAACTGACCAGCACACACACACACACACACACACACACACACACACACACACACACATACACACACATACACACAAACGTGCTTATCCTTACATCCTGTAAGGTATCCCAGTCTCCAGCCTACCCCAAGTGGGCAGTTCCGGACAGGAGCATAAAGCCCAGGAGGCTTCTGGGAACCTGATTCAAAATGGAGTGCACTGGGAAATCCCAAGGGATTCTGCTTTCATTGGACTCACTCATCCTCAGAACCTTAGTTATAATTACGTTACCTGAAGGTGGTTTTGTTAGAAGAGAAATACACCAACTACATCAGAACTGTGAAGAAGAGACCAAGGCTCCAAACAGTAGTTACTTAGTCATCAATATTGTTAAGGCAGAGGAAAATTCTAGCCCTTTGCCTAGAAAACACTATATTCTAGAATTTCAAATTGTTGCAGGGAGAGAGTTGCTTTTGTAGAATTTCAATGAAGAATTTAATAGATTTGTTTTCTCATGTTATAGAAGGAATAGAAGAGAGTGAGTTAGGAACCCTGAGTTCTAATGACGTTCCCACCACTCCTTAGCTATGCAGCCCTGAGCACACCACTCACTCATCAGGTATTACTGAGTACTCACTGCCTCCTGGGAATGGGTCAAGGATGGCTAGATGATGGGTTTTTTAAATGGCAGCTTTTTAATAGAGAATAATGGGGAAGGTTGTTGCTAAAGTTTTCCTGTCTAGCCCACAGTCAGGACAAACTCTCTCTCCCGCCAGTCCCACAGCCACTCAGACCCGACCAAGTAAACACAGAGACTTATATTGGTTACAAACTGTATGGCCGTGGCAGGCTTCTTGCTAACTGTTCTTACAGCTTAAATTAATCCATTTCTATAAGTCTATACCTTGCCACGTGTTTCGTGGCTTACCGGCATCTTCACATGCTGTTTCTCATCATGACGGCTGGCAGTGTCTCTCTGACTCAGCCTTTCACTTCCCAGCTTTATTCTCCTCCTTGTCCCGCCTATACTTCCTGCCTAGCCAATGGCCAATCAGTGTTATATTTACCAACCAATCAGAGCAACACATTGCCATGCAGAACATCCCCCAGCACTTCCCCCTTTCCTTTTTTCAAAAAGGAAGGTTTTAACCTTAACAAAGTAAAATTACATATAATTTGGGAATTTGGGCGTAGCTTCTCTTGCTACTTCCTGCTGGAGGGGGGCGCTGTATCTTATGGGGACACAAAGAAAATTTTAGGATTATGGAATAGTCCATGAGGCTGTATCGTCTGAGCCAGTTGCCTTCAAACCATTCTGGATGTTGGATCATCTGGGCCATGGTGTCATCGGAGACCTTTCAGGGGGTCTTGGCTGGTCAAACCTGATGTATCTTAATCTGGAACAAATCCATAGCCTCTGGCTTTCTGTGGGAACAAAAGCAGAGTCTCCTTTCCAAAGCAACACATACTTACATCCAAATTTTGAAGTCATGGTATCTTTAAAATATACATATTGGTTTAACTCAACATCTTTTATGATCAAATGTTTTTCTGCAGTTAAAAATCCCAAAGACAACACAATCCAGATTCTCTGTGTAATATCCATTTTTACGTGGCTTATTTTTTATACTACCTTTACTGTCTCTTTAAAGACTTTATTTTTTAAAACTATGTATTTGTTTCTATAACTCTATATATCACTTTTGTCTCTTTCAAGCCTACGTATCTTTTCCACACATTGTAAACTATACATCTGAATCTGTCTTATTGTGAATCTATTGCCTTAAACTGCAGCAGCTGTGGCTGCTGGCTCCGCCCACCTCAGCTTCCCAACATGGCGGCGGTACTGTAGTTTTCCACCAGCTCTGGGAGCTATCGTGGGTCTATGCTTTTATCCAAGCAGCGTGTAGCCCAGAAACCTCTTTTTTTTGTTTTGTACTAGAAAAGGCTAAATCCACCATGCAGTTTAATGTGCCACTTGCATAGGCCTCATTCCCGCCATACTGCAGGTCGAGCGCGCACGCTAGGAACCCACCAGTAGCTCAAATGGGCAGCTGCCGCTCATTTGAGAGAGACAATTAGGAAGCTGTTTTTAGCTCCGTTTTAGAATCTTTTCTCAGGTTTTAGGTGGAAACTCTTGCCACCACGTTGGACGCCAGAAGGTAGGTGTCAATCACGTAATTTATTTGATTACCAAGTAGTACAGACACAGTGAAGAAAATGTTTAAAGAACTTTCTGACCCCTTTTAATATCTGTAAAACTATAATGTACATTTCATCAATGTATTAAATTGAAGATATTTTAGTAGTTTCCTCCCATGCGTTTATTCTTGTATGTTGTAAGACAGATAAATAAATAATTTGTACTAAAGTTATAGATGCTCTTACATTTGGGTGATCTGAATGGTTAGAAGTGTGTGAGGGGACAGAAGCCCTGGCTTCTGTGCAGCAGCAGGAGGTAGCCCCTCGCTGGTGTGTGAGGGCAAATGGCTCGGATTCTGGGTGTTTCTGCCCTACCTGGGAGTGCAAGCTGGTTGAAGTGTTCAGTGCCCTCACGTGCTTGTGTTGATTTCTTTCCCTTCCTCCGTGCTCTGGCAGCTCATCCTCTCCAGCTGGGAAGGAGGCTACAACCTACAATGTCAGAATCTGGACAGTGCAGGAGAAGGAGATATCCGGGTGAGCCCTGAGAAGTACTGAAAAAGAGCAGAGTCTTGCCCTGTACAGTGAGAGTCTGGGATTACATGAAGAGCTTGGGGTCTGACGGGAAGACTTAGTGACAGACATGTCTTAGAAATGGCTGGGTGGCGGGCTTACTGAACCACACACATCCATGAATAGAAGCCTCTACCAGGTGCAGTGAGCCTGGCCTCAGGACCATCTCCTGCTTCAGGACATATTTAAATGCAAACCAGCCACTTGCAGGCTGTGTTTATCAGGAAGGCCTTTTGTGTGATACAGTGTGTGTATTGATTTCTGTATTTTTAAAGGGAAACTGTGGCAGGAGAAACAAGAAGCTAGTTAGAACAGCCTCTTCTGTGGAAGTAGGCGAGTTGGGATAGGATGGCAGCCACACTGCTCTCAGTACACAACTCATTTGATTTTTGAAATCATCCTTTTACATAAATTGTAAACAAAATTAAGTTTTAAAAGGAAACAAGGCAAGTTTCCTCCCTAAAACATCAGAAGCAAAGTAAGGTAAATGAATTCACATGCATAGGAAGGTACCCATCAGAAATCACAACAAATAGGGATAGCCATTGTGGGCAGATAGCTACAGTGGGCAGCATCTTAATTCAGAATTCTTTGTTGCTATTGCTTATTAATAAAAATGCATTGCTGCTTTTAGACAGCCACAGGACACTGGGAGATAGAGTATATAATAAACTAACATCATTAGTAACTAGTACTTGAAAGAAAGAGATATACTTTTAAAAGTAGTGAGAGTTAAACCCAGTAGTCGTCAATGCAAATTAGAAATGTCATATTAACCTCATGAAAGAGGCTGTATTTTATATCTTTTATCTTCAGAAAAGGCCCCTTTAGTCTATGACAGCCCAAGGTACTGAGCTAGACTTTACAGAGTGGGCTGTCTACCAGAAGGGATGAGGATTCTTTGGGCATGGCCAGTTCCAAGTTTGGGCCAGGGAATGTATTTCAAGTGACTCTGTGACCCTCAGCAAAGGAGCTATGCATGACTATTGGGGTCATGCGTAGTTACAGGAACCACCTTGAAAACTCCCTCTCATTGGCTGTCCAGGACAATCCAAGCATCAGAAAGAACACTGCCTGCGATGAGCTAGAGCACACTGAGAGATGAAAGAGAGCACATCTCTAAAAGAAAATGAGTCCCACTGTTCCCTTTTAAAGGTTGCTACACCAGGTCATTGCAGAAAAAATTAAGGCAAATAACTGAACATCCATCATGTCTTTATATGCGAATTTCCAAATACAAGAGGAGGGGAAATTCCCTATAGGAGAAAAATGTGTGAGTCACAGTAGAATCGGAGCATCACTTTGCATCTCCCAGAAGCACGATGCTTCCCTTCGCAAAACTGTCCATCACCTGAACAAGAGAGCACCCACTTATGGTGATGTGAAACACACTGGTGGATCCCCATCATGCACTTTTAGAGCTCTGACTATAGAGGTATAGTTAAGGCAGTCTGGGACTGTAAATGGTTCTGAGAAAAAGGAGGTAGCTCAGGAAAGTTCCTGAGAGAAGGTGGCTACCAAGATGAGGATTAGGGAAGGATGGCTAAAATGTGCCAGATCTGAGGCAGGAAGTGTTCGACGTAGGTGGGACGGAGAGTCAGTACTCACACAGGCTGAAGAGCCCACTTTTAGGGTTCACAGAAGCCTTGCAGAATGGAAGGTAGTGGAAGATCCTTTCCTTAGGTGCGGAACCATGGACAATAGCCTGTGGGTGGCAGGGAGTAACTGGATTGGATGCATGTTTGGGAAAGATAGCCCCTCTTTCAGTAGAGAGTAGACTCATGGAATAAGAAGGAACTAGGGGAAAGACAGCAGATGAGCAGCACTCTGCAGTCTGAAGGAAGCACAGAGCTGGAGTATGCTGGGGTACACTGTCAACTTTTCTCCCTCTTGAACTTGCTGTAGGTAGCCAAGGTCTTGTGGTGGTACTACTTCTCCAAACTAGTGGAGTTCCTGGACACGATTTTCTTTGTTCTTCGAAAGAAGACCAGTCAGATCACCTTCCTTCATGTCTATCACCATGCCTCAATGTTTAACATCTGGTGGTGTGTTCTGAACTGGATACCTTGTGGTCAAAGTAAGTCCTTTTGGTAACTCTTGGTTCTGAGAAATGAGTCTCACAATATCACCAGCACACCTCTGAGTCCACCCAGTGTGTGTTGACTAGGAGATATGGGAGCCCCTAAAGTAATGTCCTTGTCACCACAGGAAGCAACATTTGCAGGTGGCTGTTTGATTTCTGGATTATTATGTTGGCAAAATCTGAGCAAGACCTTAAATTTAAAAACTGATTTCTTTACCATGCACCAATTGTCGGATGGGCAGAGAAGCATAGGCCTCAGCCAGAGCACCTGACTCCATAGAGGGCAGTCCTTACCACTTCAGGCAGCATCTGCCACAGCCGCCACCTCACTGTGACACACGTCAACATTTCAACCCTTAGAGGTTCTTCACTTCACATTCTGGAAAACCAAGAGTTCTCTGCACCAAACAATAGCTTTCACCTTTTTAAATAGATTTTAAGCTAGATGTGGTGGTTCACACCTGTGGTCCTAGTGCTTAGCAGGCTGGGGTAGGAGGAGCTTCAACACGGCAAGATCCTGTCTTAAAACACATGTCCATGCCTGCCTATATACACGCACACACATGATACATGTAGCACAGTAAACTAGTGTGGTCTCTCATATCACATACTTTGCATGGAGCAACAGCTCCATGAGGAGGTACTGTTGACCCTGGCTTTACCTGGAACACTGTGGTGGGAGGTAGTGTTGACCCTGGCTTTACCTGGAACACTGTGGTGGGAGGTAGTGTTGACCCTGGCTTTACCTGGAACACTGTGGTGGGAGGTAGTGTTGACCCTGGCTTTACCTGGAACACTGTGGTGTCTTGTTTTAGCCCTACTTTACTTTTTTTTAGTTTTTAAAAATTTTATGTTGCCAGGTGGTGGTGGTGGTGGCGGTGGTGGTGGTGCACACTTTAACCACAGCACTCAGGAGGCAGAACCAAGCGGATCTCTGAGTTTGAGACCAGCCTGGTCTATAGAGTGAGATCCAGGACAGGCACCAAAACTACACAGAGAAACCCTGTCTCAAAAAAACAAAAAAAAAAAAATGTGTGTATTGGTTTTTTTCCATGGGTGTCAGGTACTCTGGAACTGGGGTTACAGACAATTGTGAGGTGCCTGGGTCCTCTGGAAGAGCAGGCAGTACTCTTTACCACTGAGCCATCTCTTCAGCCCCCCTCCCCACCACTTTACTTTGACTGTAAGCAGTTGATGATGTCTTTCTCTGTGATGACTTCACAGCCCATAGGGAGCGGGGTAGGGTACTCACTTGTGACTGAACTAAAGAGACAGTACTTTTATTTAAATCATCATGTTCCCATGACTTTGAAAATATTCTATGAAAAATTAGATGGGACAAAACAAGAAAAAGTGTTTTTAGAGAGCCGAGTATATAACTCACCAATGGAGCACTTGCTTAATATATACAAGAATGCTCCATTGCCAGGACCCTAAAAAAGTCAAATTGAGTGACGGCTTTTAAAAAGTTTAAAATGGGTGTGGTGGCACACACCTTAGGAGTTGGGGTCTTGTGTCAATGATAAAAAGTGCCAAGGATATGTGGGATGCAGATACCCCTTGACACACCAAAGAGTCAATTCTGGTAAACCCACCGTGAATTGAAACTACCCTAAGTGAAAACTGCGTGTGATGCGCATAGCCCACTGAGCACCCGTCACGGCCTCAGTACAGGGTTCATATCAAACGGCCTCACCTCCTGGTTGCAGTACGGAATGAGCTGCCATCATTTCCATCACCCGCCATCCAGAGAGCACTAGACCACTGTTACTACAGGTCAACAGTCAGGGCTCAAATTACGGTTTCTACCAAATGTGGATAATTTGGATCCAGTCATCAAGTTGAAAGATCATGAATAGAGCCATCGTTGGTTGTATGATATCCCTGGCTGTCAAGGTCCAAGTGAAAATTCCCATGCAAGGGATGAAAGTGCACAGAAGACAGATGGCCTTTAAACTCAGATGACAGGCTCCCTGTGCACCTTTAGGTGCTAAGGAAGATTAGTGAAGGTCACAGGAGCAGTTTTTTGAGGAGTTGTTTGGTTTTTTTTTCCAGTTTTGACAGTTTCATTATGCATTTAAAATTCACATTTCACTGTTCAGAGATGGTCCTGTGAATATTTGTGTGCTGTATCTCCAAGATGTTTACAAAAATTATAAGTACAGAGCTTCTCAGAAATGAGAACCCAGATGGACAAATCTCATCTTGGACTGCTGAGTACTCCCATAGTCTTTTTTTTCCCATGGAAACTCAAGTGTCATAACACATACTGGCCAGTATTTGCTGAAAACTTACTGTATGTATCACGCTGTTGGTTTTGCTTTCCAGTTATCTAGGTTACTAATGTAGGGTGAGAAATGGGGGCTAAAGAATTGAAACTGACTAAGAAGTAGGCCGTGCTCTTTAGTTCAGACAATGCAGGACAGTCTCTCAATCCCACCACAGCTTTGAGTGGTTTCAAAATGAGAAAAGAGCTTACACACAAACACATTCCAGACATAAGAAACCACTAGGCAAGCACTCCAGCCACAGGAGGCTCTGTCACCAACATGGCTTAATCAAGGTTTAGGCAAAAGAAAGTCAACTCTCCTGTAGTGGGATTCTGCAACCAGACTCAGCTTCACCTTTCTCTGCCTCCCTGATTAGCTGGTAAGAATGACTGCTGCAGAGACAGTGAGCCCTTTTCAGATACGGAGTAGCTGGCTTGGCTGGCTGAACATCTCTCCTGGACTACACCTCTGTCTAGAAGGTTTTACTGAATCCTGGAATGACCGCACCAGTTAGAGATCTCTCCATGAATGCTGTTGCGTGATTGTCTACACCTGTTAGCACTTTTCAGTCAGGATAGAGACCGACAGATAACGAGGAAGGACAAGCACCTCCCTTTCTGGGAGTACTAACTCACATACTCCACTGTCCTAGGCTTCTTTGGACCAACCCTGAACAGTTTTATTCATATTCTCATGTACTCCTACTACGGACTCTCTGTGTTCCCGTCCATGCACAAGTACCTTTGGTGGAAGAAATACCTCACCCAGGCTCAGCTGGTATGTTGCTCTTCCTTTGCTTCTCCATGTGCCTCACAGACAGGGAAGGAACAGGCTTTTCAGGCTCTGTGCCTAGGCTGCCTTTTATCTTAATGTGGCCTGGAGGAGTCATACTTCGGCCACAATATGCCTTTGTGTTTGCGGTTAGCTTCTAAGTGGAGATTTTCTGGTTTGAAATAATAATCATTTTTGAGTTAATATAAAACTGAGATCATTTTTTAAATTAAAATAAACTTAACTACTTTTCCATCAGAAATAGACAAATTTATATACTTACATAATTTCAAATAAAGTCTCTGGGCAGGGTAGTGGACTATTGGGGTATTTTTCTTGATTTGCTTCTGCAGAATATAACAAGGGACAGTAGCCGTGTGTAGACCAATAGGGCCTCCCTCCCATGGGACCTGTTCTCAGCTGCAGCCCTCTGTCTTGCAGGTGCAATTTGTGCTGACCATCACGCACACCCTCAGTGCCGTGGTGAAGCCCTGCGGCTTCCCCTTCGGCTGTCTCATCTTCCAGTCTTCCTACATGATGACACTGGTTATCCTGTTCCTAAACTTCTATGTCCAGGTAAGTAAGGTGTAAGTGTTCAGGGCAGAGCGACAAGCTGCCCCAATGTACGGTGTATCTAAGATAGTGGGACGCCAAGGAGGAAGTGAAGGGTACCCTCCTAACCCTTCTCCCCACATCCTCCTCCAAGGACAGCCAGCTAACAGTCCAGTTGGCCTTTGCTGAGAGCTCATTCTGAAAGACTAAGTTCCATTATATCTGCACCTGTGTTTGCCCCCGCCACCACCCAGACCTGACGTCGGAAAGCTGAACAGGTGTAGTAACACAGAGCCAGGAAGCTTGAGTGGAGAACAACTTGACAATTGTGTTTCGTGTTTAATAATGAATTCAGTGAGCCTCCGTCAGCTGCTCTGAGGTATGGAGGCAGTGTTCATTTGGGGAAATTCCTTCAAGGCAAAACCAGCATGGACATGGACAGGGCATGCTGGCTCACTCTTTGTCAAGTGACATTTTCTTTTCAATTAACAATTGAGATGAGAGCATCCTGCACAGTGACTTTGTCCTAAGAACCCACACAGGCTGGGGCAGCAGAGGCTCAGGTGGCTGTGAATTATAAATGGTGGGGCTAAGGAAATGAAAAGGCTGCTTCACACCAAAAAGAAAAAGCATAATTTGTATTCAAACAGTACTTTTGAAATTCTAGTCAACTGTGTTTTCTTCTCCAGACAATTGCTCTCATTTTTAGTTTTTGTTCCATAGTGGTTTTATGTGAAAGACCACTGTGGGAACTGGACCTTTGACAGCTTTTCAGAGTGTGTGTTTCTGAACTGGACTGGCTGTCCTTTGCCCTTCTAACAGATCAGTCTCATATGAGGATGTCTAAAGACAGACGCATTGGTGGAACCAAACAGATCCACATGTGCGTACCAGAGCTCGAAGGGAACAGCATGGGCTCACCGTAGCTGGCAGTGGTAGGCAATGGGTACCAAAACTCTGTCTACACACTGATTCAGACTTTATACCATTCCAGTCTTGACCCTTGTTAATACCATCATTGCTTTTTAAAAAAGTAAAAATACTGTTATCCTAGCACTGAAGAGGTAGACACAGGAAGATCAAGAGTTCAAGGTGATCATGGGTAGCAAGTTGGAGACCAGTTTGGGTGGAATGAGACCTTGTCTCAAAAAATAGATAAATAAATAAAAATAAGGTGACAGATCAGGTATTTCATCAGAATGAGAGAGGGGGACATATAAGGCCGGAGTGGAGTTCTGTGGCAGATGACATAATTAATATGCATGAGACCCTGCTTTCCATCTTCAGCACTAAAGAGAACGTTTAAAACCCTTCCAGAATCAGATAATGTTGTAATTACAATCTCAGAATAAAAAAGTAAAATAACAGCTCCTTTTATCTTGAATTTTAAAGGAAGTTATATTTTTCCCAAGTGAATTACTAATATAAGCTGCTTTGCATGCTAAGCAAATTATGATGTAACACAGATAAAGTGAAATAACCTGTACTGACATTCCTGTATTTGCCTTGGTTTTTACCTGAGCTTTACAGCAAGAGGCTTCAAAACAAAGTCTTATTAGGAGGTCCAGTGCCAAGGAAGACTGTGGAATGCTTTAAATGCATGCTGTGTCAGAAGTTTAGAGACAATGACTTATTAACTCGTCTCCTCTGCTTTTCCTCCTGTCTACTCTCTGACAGACATACCGAAAAAAGCCAGCGAAGAAAGAGATGCCAGAGCTGCCCACAGGGAAAGAGGTGAAGAATGGTTTGCCCAAAGCCCACTCGGCCGCAGCTAACGGTGTAACAAACAAGAAGGTGCAATGAATGGAGTGATGGGGAGCATCACAAGTGCAGCAGCCCAACAGATGAGCTTGTTTTAAAGCCAAGACTGGATTGAAAGTTGTCTGTTTTAGCATAAACTAATTCCTTTTGAGTTTGTAAATCATTTGTACCCAGAATGTATTATAATGTATTGCTATTAGGTTACTCTATTAACTGAAGCGATGCCGACCTCTACAAACCTCAGAACAGGTGCAGCGCCCCCTCTCTCCTGAACTCTTTGTAATGCCTTATTCACGCAGAAAACCAGGAGACACGGGCTTTGTTTTTCATGGCAAGTCTTCAGAGTTAATTTTCTTTAGATTAAATGTGTAAAATAAAATGTTAATTATATTGTAAATGTCAGGGTCTGCTCTAGTCCATGTCAAGCAATAACTGTCAGTGCATAAATCGATGATTAGTCTACTTGCTCCTTAAGGTATCAACTCTAGGAAGCGTTTAAATGGAATCCTTAACAAAAGACAGAATCTAGCATCACCTCTCCCTCTCTCAAGCCAGGGAGGCAGCTACATTTTTAACCACTCTGATTCTAAATTTAGTGACATAGTAATGAGATTCATTTTTCTTCAACACAGTTTGAAGATTAGTCATTTTATGAACGAACAACTTCGTGAGCTGGGTATGGTGGCATACACCTGCGATCCCAAGTGTTTGGGTATCGAGACAGCCTGGGCGACATGGGCACAAGAAGACCTTGTCTCAACCAGAAAACAATTCTTTTGCCAAATGATCATAACTCAGGGGCTTTGGGCAGGAGCTGTCTCTCCGTTTCAATTAGCTTCCTTACTCATACATTCCTGTCTACCTCCCTTGCTGGTCTGGATTCAGAGAGTCACATTCTCCATATCAAAAGCTGGGTCTACACGTAGCTGCCATGCCTTTTCTGAACAAAGGCTGGAGTCCAGTTGCAGTTCTCCTTGGCACAGAAATGCAACAGGAATACTTGTAAATCGTAATCAACAGAGCCAGGGGCAAAACAGACATCACATTTTCAGTTGTTGCTTCTGAGCCTACTCAGGAATATTGCCCAAGTAGTTGCTACCAATCTTCCTAAGTTTAAGTTTCAGAAAACAGAAAAGGGTGCGGTCATTTGGAAAGATCCTGTGGGCTGGGAATAAGCCAAGTGAGAGTGCACCGGCCTAAGCAGCACGTGCTGTCTCTGCTCAGAACTGTGGTCTCCACTGCGAAGCCAGTACAGAGGCAGACCGAGGCCCTGTTCACTTCCTTCCCCCAACTGATGCACCACCACTGTTAAACTGTACCGAGCATGAGACAGGACATTTCCCCAAACTCACACAAAACATAACTTAGTAACTTGGACTGCGTTTCCTCCATTTTAGCGCTATGTACCTGGGTCGTGGCTCTGGCGTCCAGCACATGGTAGGCTTTTCTTACGTGCCAACAGTGGTGCTGCCCACCTTGTCTTCCCTTTCTGGGCAAGCTCCCATTTTACTTTTCCCTGTTAAAAATTGTACTGACTTTTTAAACTGAGTATTCTGCCCTTCTCAGTGTATTTGGACAAACACTGTAGTCCTTGTGTCCTGTGCCATCCCACACTGTTACTCCTGTTGGACAAGCTCCTCCTGTCTGCTCACCACCTACTCTTCACTGTGTTTTCTAAATGATTTTCTCAAACTGATCTGCTCCCAGGTGCTTCACCGCCATCTCCAGTGACTCAGACTCGAGCTAGTATGTTCTTCTTTCCCAAGCATTCGTTTTAAGGGCTAGCTCTGAGTATGTTACTGTTCTTCTGTGACAAGAGACAAGTTAGCCAAAGGAGCAAACTCCTTGGTGAGACTGGAGTTCAGTTTTAGTTCTCAAACATGACTTGAAATCTGTTACTGAAGTGAATTCTGGGTAAAAATGAGACAGGCGAGGCATCACTGGTCCTTGACCCACGTTACTCTTACTTTGCCAGTGAGGTACTGAAGTCTCACAGTGCATCATCATGCCTGCAGTGGGGTGTTTGCGTGACCTCACATCTGTAGAACACAGAGGACGTCATCTTTGTATAGCCGTTCAGTAATGGCAGCTCAAAGTACCAGCCAGCTTAACCCTCCCAGAGCAAGCTCAGTACAACACTAAGCCTTAACCCACTCAAGGGCCAAGAAGACACACAGAGCTATAAAACCTGAGCTGAAAAATGGGATCTGGTAAACATTTTAACCCATTTATTCTTAGTGTGAATTTTCTAAAATAGAAGTAAAAAAAAAATGTCTATCTCTATAATCTGATAAAACAGTTTCCCAAGTAAATTCCCTTTTATTCATGAGAACAGAAATACTTGGGTACTATAAAACCTTAATTTCCCCAGCTTTTAAAATAAAATGGAATATTTGCTGAATGTAATTAAGCATAGAAAATGTCAACCCGTCAGAATTATATTTATACATATTGGTGGATAAGTTCCTGTCTTCCCACATCAGAGAATTATTATTTTTTTATCAAATCGGCAGAATAGCATTTTGTATGTTAGAGACCACTCTACTCTAGTCCTTCCCAACATTCCTGTGTCATTTAAGAACGTTAGTAGAGGTCACCTCTTTGGAAATGGAGGGTTTTACTTTTTGTTTTCCTTTGACAGTACTGCATCTAAAGAACACAGTATCATGACTGGGGTGAAAGGGAGCCAGAAGCCATTTTTCTTTTAGATAAAAAGCATTCTGTGTGATTGTTGTATAATAAATTGATTTTTATGCTAAAACGTGTTACACTTTTTATTTGGCTCAAAGAAACTAAAATGTGGGCCTATGTGGTGTGCCAAGTGGTCTGTTATTTGGTAATTATTTTTACCAATGTGATATTTCAGTGATTCATCTTAGACTCTTAATTCATTTCAACAAGCAATGGGATGTTATGTGACATTATTAATGCAGTATTTATATACCAAGTCAAACTAGCTAAGATGTTCATCACTCACAAGGAACACTGAATACAGATCAGACAATCGGAGTCTATTAGAAACTACTTACTATTTAGTATACCAGTATACTCTGCTGTACTTCTACTATATATACTACACCATCCAATGGGGGCACAAATGACATTAGTTACAAACACCCTGGGTACCTTTACAGTGTCTTCCCAGGTGGAGGAAGTGGCCACTTCACCTCAGGAGCTGAAGCAGGGTCACCATCTGCCATTTGTCACACAGAGGCTACAGTCTCCAACATGATAGCGATCACAATGCACAGCATGAAGGTAGCCTCAATAGACATGTTCAAAGTCTGACCAAAGTCGCCTACATCCCAAGCTAGAAATGGGTGGGGCAGGAGAGTTAGGAAGATGAGGGTGAGGGGATGGGGAGGAGGGCAGAAGGGACTTGGAGTGGACGAAGGCTTGAGTTTAGGGAGGGTGATCATTTTAAAGGGCCTCCTTTCACGTCATTATTTTAAGATGTGGGTGGGATCATCTCAATAAAAATAAAACGCTAGGCAGGATGCAATCCCAGCACAGAGGAAGCTAAGGCAGGAGGATTGCTCTGAGTTAAAGCCACTCTAGGGTTCAGTATGCTGATTCCTGGAAATTTTTGGCTATGCAGTAAGACTTTGTCTCAAAAAAAAAAATAGACCTAATGTTTCTATGAGAAATTAGCTATTGCAAATTAAAAGAACGATAATACACACCAATGTCTCCTTGATGCTTCACTTAAAGGAAAATTCAGCATATGGTTTGATGGTTGCAGGCCTTCTTCCAAGTCAAATGACCTTCACATATCTCAGCTCCTTTCTGACACATGCAAGGAAACATTCTCTCCTAAAGACTACAGTCATCTAAATATTCCTTGCCATTCAGTAAATGTGACATGGTCATGAAGTGGGGCTGTATAAGTCATTTCAACAAAGTACAAATGCTTTAAGGTTTCACAACCTCCTACAACCATGTCTTGAGCTGAGAACCCACTACTCAAACACATTAATCTATGGGAGACATTGTATATCCAAGTCATACCAAAGCCTTGATTTTTTTCAACCCAGTTGTGGTGATATATTGTGTACTCTAATAAACTTTGCCTGAAGGTCAGAGAACAGAACAAGTCACTAGATTAAACATAGAGGCCAGGCAGTGGTAGCACACACCTTTAATCTTAGCACTGGGAGGCAGAGATCCATCTAGATCTTTGTGAGTTCAAAGCCACCCTGGACTACATGAGATTAACTCAGTCTAGGAGAGAAACAGAGCCAGGCAGTGATGGCACACACCTTTAATCCCAGTACTTGGGAGTCACACACCTTTAATCTCAGCACATGAGATCTCATGCCTTTGCTTGGGAAGTCACACGCCTTTAATCCCAGGAAGTAATGGCTGGCAGAGAAAGGTATATAAGGCATGAGGAGAAAAGAACTAGAGGCTTTTTCAGGTGAAGCCCTTTTGGCTGGAGCTCTTTCAGGCTGAGGAGTTGGTCAGGTAAGAGGTGGTGGCTGTGGCTTACTCTGCTTCTTGATCTTTCAGCTTTCACCTCAATATTAGGCTCCAGGTTGTTTTTTTTTTTTTTTAATTAAAAGACCATTTTAGAATTTGTGTTACACCCAGGTTAGACTTAGATTATTGGATTAACTCTGAAATTTCATATTCAGTAAATATTTTCTCAAATCTATGCTGTATAGTGTTATGTGTTGTACTAGAGCTACATGATGATCCAGATGAATATGTGTCCTTAGAGACATAGTCTGGGAGAGACCATTTAGTTCTAAAACTTAGAAATGGTTTACAGCAAGACGACATTCCAAAAGGAATTAATGCTGAACTTGGTTTTAGTAGTTGAGGAATTCAAATAAACAAGGAAGGAATTTTATTTCACAAGATTCCTGGGGACTCCATCTATGTGGCTCTGGGGTTGTAACCACCCATGGCAGGATGCGACTTTTCAGTGATACAGCTGTGTTGGGGTCACCCATTCACTTGCCCATTATACCAAGGAGACTCCATGCCTGAGAAAGTTAAGCCCCACCTGTCACCCAGGTAAGGGCTGCACATCTTTGTGTCTTTAGTCCTGCCTGCCCAAGAAGCTCTCTACACCATGTGTCAACCCAACGAGGTATGTCCAAGAGACTGCAGCCTCAAGCACTGTGGTAAACACAGTGTATTCAGAGAGCTTGAGTCTCAGTCATTGCTCCAGTGCTGTTAGTGTATCTTCAGGACTTTATACCCCACCACATACCATTGCCTGGAAGAGCACAGCCCTATCAGTCACCCTGTGAGGCTAACGTGTCCAGAACACATCATTTCCACCCATCACCAGGAAGAACAGAGTACCCAGGAGGCTCTGGCCCCACCCATTGCTCAGGTGAGTTCAGTGGGCCCACAAGTTCCACTGTCCCTTCCTACTATCTCTCCAGGGATAA